CCCCATCTTTCCATCCAACTCCCTCTCTTCCTTTCTCCTCTACTCAGTCCTGGTATTTGATAAGAGCCCCAGACTTATTCTTTGCCAAATGAAGCAGACAAGTGTTTCATTACTCACTTTTATTATTTTTTTTAAAGTTTATCTTATCTGTGGTTCTGTCTTAAATAATAAGAATTAATAAATAATAAAGTGATTTGCTTGTGTCTGGGAGCCAAGAAATGTCTTCCATTCTTTCATACATTTCTGATCTGATCAAGAATATTTTATTAGAAGAAATGATTACATAAGGGTTATGGGGGAGGGGAGCATGAAACTGGAGTTATTAATAACTGAGTACTCCAGGAATTCTCCAGACTAAATTGACTACAAGAATTTGATTCTTGATTCTGAGACAGAAGATCTTTAATATTATCAAAGGAGAGAAAAAGAGTATAACAGCTTTGCAGCAAAACCCAAACATATGAATAAAAACTTATTTTGGATTTGATACCCAGTGTGAGTAAGAGAATGAGAAACTAAATCAAGCTCACAGATGTGTTCTTATATTGGTTTTGATTACTGTGCAGCCTCAAGTAAGAAACTTCTTTAATATCTGTAACTAATGGATCAAATTGAGATATTGATACTATCTTTAAAGAGCTCTGACATCCTTGGTGCTAAGTATTATTATTATGGCATGCTTGTGTCTGTGGCATGGTTTTTGAAAGCAAAAGCTGCTAGTTTCAAGCAGAGAAGTAGCATATGTTCAGTTTAAAATTCAAATGTATTTATAACTGAACGCTAATGGCAATGTCATTTATTCACTTAACAATTCTACAATAAGTTGTATGAAGCAATACATTTTTAAATACATTTATTGGTATTTTACAGAGAAAGACGAGTTTAAAAGTAGCTGAGATTCATCAGGAGTTGCAGTGTACCATAAGGTGGTGAATGCTGCCCTCTGGCTCAGATTGACAATGGTCACTTATTTAGAAATGGTCTATTTTCAAAGAGTGTGGGAGACAAGAAAGGTTGGGGCTCTACAGATTTCCTTAATGCTTTGGGGTCTGTAATAGTTTTATTAAAAGACTAAATGCTTAAAGTGACACCATGTTAGAAAGAAGTTTCCTTAAGGATTAATGGTTGTAATTATTTTAAAATTATGTTTTTCAAATATCTGCAACATAGAAGAGGAGCTGTTTTCTGTCATGTATCTTTATCTTGAATGAGCCCTATAAAAGAGTCATGTCAGCATTAAACAGGCCGATGGAGGACAGTTTCTTTTACACAGATATTTTTTTTTTTAACAATTCAAGAATACATGTAACATTTCAGTGTATTATTTTACATTTTTAGGCAAGATTTAATAGCAAAGGCCCAGTATTTTTTATCCATTCATACAGTGGAGGAAAGCTTAGTCCATTTCACTGAAAGATAGTGTGATTGAGATGTGCATGTCTGCAGATTAAAAATAAAAGCTTTAGAATTTGCTAAAAATTATGCTTACATTATTCTGCTGTAGATACACCATTGCTTTTTTAAAACTGTGTGTGAAAAGGTCTTTAAGAAATATAACACAGTAATTTTATTGTGCTCATTCTCCTAGAAATAGGAAACCATCTTTCCCGTGACAAGTTGCACCTTCCCTTGTACTGTCTGCACCCTTTGCATTAGTTGGAATTAAGGGGAAATCTCCCTCAAATTTCTATTACAGAAGGTAAACATTAAGCACTGCTCCACTGCCACCCTCCCCATACCGAGTCTGCCCCACAGGAAGCCCAGAGCCTACCTGCCTTGCTGATCGCTTGCCTGGCACGTTGATCCCCAGCAAAGAAGCATTAGACCTGGTGTCCTGAGTGCAAGACTCAGTTTCGTTTTCCTACTTCCTCCTGCCTAAAATTCAGTGCTGCTCGGTGTAGTGGTGGAGGAAGTACAGAATCAAAGAGACGGTACAGGCCACATGTTCAATCCAGATATACAGCAAGTAGGATTTCCCCCCTCAGTCTTTTATAACATCATCTTATATTCAGACCAATACAGTATGACCATTCTGATATGGTAGCATTTTATACCCATCTTGAACTCATGTGAATGACTATGTGGGGTTTAGGACAATAGGAAATCCAGCCCCGTGACTAAGCCCTAAAGCTCATCTTTTTAGAATAGAAGCTGGAAGACAGACTGGACGCCTGTCTCTCAAGATGATAAAATGCAGTGTTCTAAATACAAGGCAATATTTCTTCTGGGAATGTTTCATTTTGGGTAAGATAGCAGTACTCTTTCCATAGCTGAAGAGAAAATTTTGTTTGTCTTAAGGGAGAAAGTTCAGAGCAGCTTTGGGAACAACCATCTCAGAATCAAATTGCAAATAGAAAGGAGAAATTGATAGGGCTTTTTGTTCACTGATCGTACACACTGACATAACAGTAATTAAAAAAACCCAACTTTAGTATATTAAAAGAAAAAGGAAACCCAAAGCAAATGTTCAAAGGAGGGATTTTTAAAGCTATGAATGTAATATGTGAATTCAAAAGACCCAGTGGAATCAGGTAAGGAGAGCAAAATTCCCTGGGAAACCTCATAATGTGCTCTCAGCTGCACTTAACAGTGAAATTCACACTCACAGAATGAGTCCTAAGAATTCTTTCCTATAAAAATGAGAAAAATCAAGGCAACTTGTAAATCTTCTAGTTTAAGTTTTTATTTGATAAAGGCAAATGTTACACTGATTTCATATCCCTGTAAATAAGGAGATACAGAAAAACTTTTAGCATGTAAGATACCACCTTTCTTTTTTTATTCGGCAGGGGATATTTAGAATCAAGTGGAAATTACTGAAGTGAATCTGAGTTTTTCAACAATAG